GATTCCGACCTGACGATTATACTTAATGTGGTGACAGGGTCCCCATTCTGTCCTGCTGAATTCTTTGAATTCCCCTTGGGACGCGGGAATCACGGACTGGTTGAGGACCATCATGTAAGGTTGTAAGCAAAGGGGATGGTCTCTTCGAGGTCCATTTGACTGCAAAACATACGCGGAATACAAACATCATCTGTTCCCCGGAGTTTCGTCATTTATGAAGGTGGCATAGATCACGTTATTTTGTCCCAAATGTCCGCGTCTTTTCTCATATATGGGACGCAGAGATAGAAAACCTTGTATTCCCTGGTTCTTGGGATAAATGATTTTCAAGCCCTGAAAGCAGCCCTAAATTGACCTAACCACCTGACAGTTTGATTTGTGGCTAGTATAATGGACGTGGCAACTCTATGAAAGCTAATCTGTTCCAAGAGAGACTGAGGGACTCAAACAGCATTCTCCGTTTGACGTGATTCAATGTAATACTCACTCAAAGAAGAAAGTTTAGAAACAGAACAGGTGAAAAAGGTCTCATATTTGTGGCGTTCTTTATTGGAAAATAAAAATCACTTTCAACTCGGCGATATAAACAAGGTGAAGTTTTGAGACGGGACAGAAGAGCACTTTGGGGGATTAAGCGTGTGAAAATAAACGGAAGACTACTAAGGTGATGCAATGCCTCTCTCAAAAGAATCACTCTGGTAACCGCTGGAACGCAATACAGCCAGATCTGGGCTTCCAACTAGTCAACTCATACTCTGATATTTTCGTCGTAGAGTTCCGTTGAATGCTTGTTCCAAACCTGGTTTTATATAAAAAAAAAGGTAAAATGCACCCAAAATCAAGGGAAGGCACGTGGAGATTGAACTGCCTTTGGCCTCTTCAACGCACTACTCACTGAGTATTATGTATGCGATTGAAGAAACTGGCATTCACTTTAAAAGCGAGACTAGCATGCAAGGATAATTCATTCGTCTTCATTGGAGTTTTCTGTGTTATCTCTGAAAGGCGCACTTGCTTCCATTTGCATTGGTTGCTGAAATTTTGGAAAGCAATTTGGAACATTTCCCACGTTTCGCAGAAAGCGAAGGTCATTTAGCTGTGCATTTCTACGAATCCGTCTATGCGGACTGGTGCTTAGGAAGGAGGCACTGCATTTTTGAGAGGTGCTCATACACTGTGTTTGTCCTGGCAAACGAAATCTGTCAGGATCGAAAGCAAAGTCTGGTTTAGCTGAAGTGCAACAAAAAATGGCACAAGAGAGTCCTAAACATATGCTCTTGCTAAAAATCATCATCGAGTGGTCTTTTTATTCACTGTATGGTGTATTTACTGGCTTCAATCGTCTACCTTACGATCAATCAGGTTCGCTCAACTCCGATTCGTTGAGGTTGACAAAATCAGAGAATTAGATGCGCCCCTTGAACCCGAGGCCTTCGAGGGAATCATCGTCTCACACTGCAAGAAAACCAGAGACATACTGCGCACAAAGTGAGTGAATGAAAGAAATTCGATCTTGCTATTTAGTTGTATTTCCCACGCCTGTTCATAGTAGTACTCTGATGGAGTGTGTTGTAAGTGCTTGCTTGAACTACGTCTCCTTTTGTTTTCAGCTGGATTCCAAAATGTGCGCGAGCTTTCATTGATCATCGGAACACCTGGGCCCACTTACTGCCAGCCAAGTCTACTGACAGTATGGAACCTGTTAGGTCCTTCTTCGCATGCATGGCAGCATTGATGTCAAAACAGCTACGCTCTATTGTGGATCAGTCACTGAAGGATTTGTTGGAGATGTTGCAAGAACATCAGGCAGGTGGTCGAATGTGGATACTGATCTTGGCCCCTTTCACTAATATTTTTATTGGATCTATGTGGAGATTATAGGCACTTATTTAGATGTTCCTCTGTGAAATCCGGCTGATTAAAATTCTACGTGAGTAGTTGATTCTGGATGAATTTCCGCCCTCACACCACTCAAGACAATTTAAATTAAAACTTGCGCAAAGATTATTCTATTCTGACCTCACAAAGACTGTGGAGAGTTTGTGATTTGAATACAGTCTTCATAGAATGGTGAGTTCTCAGCCGCAACCGAATGGTTTCTTCATTCTGTAACTCAACAGAAATTCCAAAATTACAGGTGATTCCCCTAATTTGCCTATACATATATATATATATATAT